TCTAATTCTATCTTAATATGTTTTTATAGCTGAACATGATATCTCATATCCTAATTCTAACATGTCATATCCCATTAATCTTTCTAGTGGATGATATGGTTTTCAATCTAATATATAATTATCACTCTATTTTGATTTTAAAATAAGAATTGTTTTGATTTATTTACTTTTAAACCATAATTGTTGATCATGTTGAATTACTTTAGTGATGAGGATGACTTAGACAATAAAAAAATAATGGCATCCCATATATCGCCTTATTATTTCCTTACTTTGTCCTCTTAATGATCTTGAAGTTCAAGTTGCTACACCTTGTGATCTTATCCCTTTACCTATCACACCGCGGATACCTATCAAATACTCCTCAATGCACCTATTACTTTGAATTCTACCACTGTCAAACATTTTTAAGTTGATAATTTTATGTTGCACATATGTTTTATGCACCTACCATACAGATAGATAGAGAATTATCATTTTAACAGAGTTTATTGTCCTTTTGATTTTTTTTTTTTAAATTATTTAGTTATGCAGGTTTTGATAAATTCAAATGTATACTATTGTCAACAATTGATATTTTAGTTATATAGGATATGAATGTTATTACCATCTCCAGAGGCAAACTCCCATTAGTACTTCGTTATGCTGCAAAGTTGTCCTATTTATATTAATATTAAATATATGTTGGGCAACTCTTAAATGATTATTTGCATTTGAGTTTGTCAATTTCAATTTCTTTGCAAGCAAATGATGATGACAGAAACATCTAAACTTGAATATACAAGGAATTTGATTTTAAAATATTCTTAGATATGTGATCTTATCATTCTGTACTCCAAGCTATCTTTGTGTTTATATGAGTGCTTCCCTCTTGTCGATGATGGAGTTAATGGATTTGTTATACTTTAAAAATTAAAGACAATATTATAATTTATAAAAAAAATAAAATTTATTTTTATGATCTAATAGTTTTGAACCACAACAAATTAAGCCAATTATAATTAATGGCATTATATTATAAATATTAATCCTAGTATTAAATATTTGGTCCTGTCTATGCGTGGACTAAATCTGTAATATCCGGGCTTCAATAACGACCCGAGACAAAGTTTTTATTTTTTAATTACTAATTTAAAATAATCAATTAATTTATTTTATTTTTATTTAAGTAGAATTTTGAGAAAAAATGAATTAAGGACGAGATTGAAAATAATTTTAAAAAAAAATGTGAAAATTTAGATTTTGATAATGTTTTTGAAAGAAAAATTAGAAATATGGGGTCAAAATACAAATAGAGAAAGTTCAACCACGTAGAACTGCCCAATCAGCAGCCTTGACATAGTAGAGCGCACCGTGTGACAAGACGCACAAATGTCGGTGCCACGCGAGAGGCCACATTGGTGATTTGCGTACCTCGCGATCGGATGGCTCGGGATCGATCCCCAGGCATGGATGACTCAGATTTGTTTTTTCCTTAGGCGCGATCACGATGGACGACTCAGATCAACGTGGGATGGTTATAAATACTTTGCATAACACGGGAATCTAAACCCTAATCATCAGCCCCCGCCGGAGAAGAAGAACCAGACACCGGAGAAGGATGCTGACCGCCTACTGTTGCCGCATTAGAATCACCACTGACCGCTAAAAAAGGTAAAAATTCTCCCTACCTGCTCAGAATTTGATTTCGAGTACCCCTATGACTAAACCGAAGTAAGAGGGACGACAGGTAAGAAGGAAACTGTGGGTAAAACTCAGCGGAGCTGTCGTGACTGAAACCCAAAATCCCTCTGATGAGCTCCCTTCCTGATTCCTGTTTCACGTGATTTTTTTATCATTGTGTTTACTGTTTTTTTTTTGTGCAGGGTAGCTGAAGAAAGAACATCAGCTGTGAAGGAGGACCGGCGAAGCCTCCGTACTTGGAGGTCCCCCCGCCAGTAAGTTCGGTTTTTTTGTGATATCCCAACTTACTGAGACCCCTAACATGTTTTTTTGCGGGGGTATGGCCAAAATTGATTAAGGCGAGGCGAATCGCCGCGTGGGTGGCAGAACCGGCGTTGGAGCACAGCAGCGGCGCCATGTCGAAACCCCAAAATTGGCTAGAATGAGTTTTGTACACTTATTTTAGATTTTTTGAGGTATTTTTAGGTATGTGACGAGTGTTTTGATTCCACGAGAAAATTCAAGAAATTTGGTACTTGTTAGGAGGCGTAGTAGACAGCTCGGCGTGTCAAAATACCGATACGGGTAAGGATCTCTCACTCTATTTTCCGTTACGGTAAATTGAGGCTTAACGATGTATAATTTTGTATTTTTGTGAAAAATTAGAAAATTCTAAAAATAATTACAAGTTACTAGTAGAGCAGGAACCTGTTAGTTCACAATTGTCTTGATTTTCTATTTATTTTCCTGTACTGTCCTACTTGCTTGATTTTCATATAGTACATATTCTTAATTTATACTTCAATAGTCTTATTAACTTATCTTGTTATTTTGGTTATATACCGTCAGCATGAATGTAGTTTAATTGATCTGTTAATGTAATATGAGATATTGGAATGAGTTTGTTGATGAAAATCTGTATGTGAAAGACTTGTTGATTATCTAGAAAAAGGGCAGACAGGCCTGGTACATAGAGAAGCTTATAGTGAATGTTACCTTAGTTGGCCGGGGTTGAAAAGTCCTTTACCGAAAAGGTTTGAAATATATGGCTCACCATCATACCAGACGGGATATCGAGGCGATGGAGTATTTGGTTCCCATTACCAGACGGGGTATGGGGACTGTTGGTCAAATGTAAAATTTGATATTGGGTTCACAAGTAGAGCGAACACCCTTATGGACCCATAGGGGTACCAGTA